GATACAATTGAGTTAATGAACAAAATCTACTCTGAATAAACTAGTATAAAAATCCATTGAAAAATGACTGAAAGAAAATCATCTTGAATCGATTTAAGAATTTTAAGATTGATCTTCTTCTACAAATTTTGTGATTGAGGAAGTCACATACATCACTCTCAGACCTAAATCAGATAACACATTACCAGGACATATATGACATCAGGACAAAATATTTTGATCAATATAGTTGTTTAATGATGAAAAATTTTATAAACTTAAGAATCCACTTATGATATTTTCGACGCAAAGCTTTAAAAACAATGTAAAGCTTGTTTCAATCATTAATTTAGTGCAATTAGTTGCCTTTATGAATTTAAATGAAGCCAGAACGAACATGGATGCAGAATAATATGAAGTCATTATATTTCATGGTTTCTCATCAGCTGCTTACAACCAATCATGTATTGAAATTTAACATTGAGGTAAGATATAGTGTGGAACAATTGAAAATGAATTGGGATGATAAAGGGTTAGGGTGTCAGAATAAAAAAATGAGGTGTAGGTGATATAATAGTTGAGTGAAGTTCAGAGACAGATAAGATAAATAATGTGATAATTTAAGAGTTAATGAAGGGTTTACATAAGATTCATGGAATTAGAAAATCTAGTACGATCGGTTACGCAATAATTGAAGAGGATTTGAAGAATTTACATAATTTAAGAGAATCGAGTGAGTGAAAACTTATGAGTGAAGGAGTAGTAGCTAAGTTCATCCAGAAATATGACCGAACCAACCCTCGGTTTAAGTACGATACAGTGGAAAAGAAAACATGCTTCTTATACTTACGCTTCATAGGAGATGAAATCGCCGCGTTGAAGGTAACCTACCCATCAGTAAAACTGACTACGCTATGGGAAAGGAACTGCTCGCTCAAACCAACTAAAATTGACAGGTCCTTGTTTTCAGTAGTTCCAACTGCATTTACCAATTAACATGTACGTGTCAAAGCACATACATTGGAAGAACCGATAGAAGAGGGGCTCTTAACAGTGCAATAGCTCGGCATTTACTTGACACCGGGAATACCGTTCACAACTTTCAAGCTTTTAAGATTATTAGCAGACAAAAAATACTGCTTCTCTTCGCTTCTCTGAAGCGATTGCGATAAAAACACTCAAACCTGATCTATGTATTCAAAAAGAGACAGTAATAAGCCTATTGTTACCTTGGTAATTCAATTTTTGTCACTAGTTTTATTTTGTTAATGTTTAATTTGCTATATTTCTTTTCCATAACCGAATTCTTATTTTATGTACACTTAAACCACGCATTCACTCATCAGTTTCCACTCACTCGATTCTCTTAAATTATGTAAATTCTTCAAATCCTCTTCAATTATTGCGTAACCGATCGTACTAGATTTTCTAATTCCATGAATCTTATGTAAACCCTTCATTAACTCTTAAATTATCACATTATTTATCTTATCTGTCTCTGAACTTCACTCAACTATTATATCACCTACACCTCATTTTTTTATTCTGACACCCTAACCCTTTATCATCCCAATTCATTTTCAATTGTTCCACACTATATCTTACCTCAATGTTAAATTTCAATACATGATTGGTTGTAAGCAGCTGATGAGAAACCATGAAATATAATGACTTCATATTATTCTGCATCCATGTTCGTTCTAGCTTTATTTTAACCGTTAGTTTTGTTATCGAAAAGTATGCTCTATGACATTTTGCTTTCTGACGTCAACTGATGTCGAATGTATTTCAGTATATGTTCTTTGACTTGAACACCATATTCATATTCTAAGAATACCAAGTCAAACTCATAATACACTCTTAAAATTGTTGTAATATGAATCTTTCTGTTGTACACGTTATATGATAGAATATAATCTAAATTTCAAAGTTCATTTACAAACAAGTCACTATACACAATATATGAAATAAATGTTTTTTTTAGAAATAATTATTATCAAAAAATTCTTAATAAAATTCGGAATTATAAAAATGTCTTGTTTGTTTGTTTTGTTTTAATGTTCTATATCTAAATTTTATTGATTTACATAGGGGTGTGTTAACTTCAGACCATATAAAGTCATTTATAAATATTCTAAAATCCTATATGTTGGTTGAAAAGCCTTTCTTTCAAAAAAATAAAAATAAAGAAATCAAACAAATAAACAAAATAATCAATATTAAAGTGTACATTGTTAACATCTACACGCATGAATTTAGACTAAATGAATCCGTTTTAGACTAGTTTGTAACGCTATAGTTATGAAAAAAACCTTTTCTTTCTGAAAGAAAAAAAAGAAGTGATATGAGAAAATAAAATTCTTCTTTATGCTCCTTTTTAATAAAACAAAAGAATTTGTCAAAAACATGTCAGTCAACAGATCATTCGTCAAATAGTATGTGCATCTTGTCAAGTTGTCCCACTGTTACGTCACAATGAAGTACCAAAACAGTACAAATGGTAACAGTATTATTAGTAGTAGAAAAGATTAGATTAAAAAAAAGATATAATTATTTTTAAGGTATGCTTTACAACTAACGTTTTTCTATGATAGAATTCAGTGTTCTTACAAACACTCATATGTTAATTAGCATTATTTGAACCAAATAATTTTATGGTAAAAAAGAATGTTGGAAACCAATTTTCATGTATAAAATATTTTGAGACAAATTTAAAATAATCAATTTAGTGGTTACACTAAGCCATGAAACGTCAGAAAATCTAATTTTTCCACTCAATGGGATATTACAAATATATTATTTATTTATTTATAACAAGTTACCCAATGCTCAATTTATTTGAAATTATCAAATCAAACCTTGGTAATGATACCTACAATTTAGTAGTTTGTTTTGTCTTGAAAAAGTTCATAAAACCTGATATATATGAGTAACTCAGCTAAGAAAAAATTAACACAAAACAACCATATGTTTTTTTTCTGTACATTCTAATTACAACTATTTTTTCTCAGTCTATTTTTAAGATCAATATTTGTGTAAACCTTAACAATTAACCTATTTAGCTCGAAGACTATAACATTTACCATAGTTACATTCTGTGCTAAAAATATTCACCATCATTTTTGTATTCTTTTATGTTATAAACAAAACGTACATAAAATTAAATTGTACCAAAATAAATAAACAAACTGAAATAATCAAAACTAGCCGGATAGTTTCTATGATGAAAATATTAATTTATTATCATTTAATTAATTTATTTCACTGGTTGAAATCATGAGTCAATTGAAGCTGGACCACCATGGAAAACCTGGAAGCACTGAACGGCCGTTTCGTCCTAGTATGGGACTCCTCGGCAGCGCGCATCCACGATAGTGCCCCCCGCGAGATTCGAACCCAGGACTTATCAGTCTCGTGCCAGGCGCTTAACCAACTAGACCACTGACCCGGCATCCAACGGTGTTAATGTCTAACTTCAACCAAATTTCTAAAATCTCCACAAATCCCATTCTGATAATTAATTTATATTTACTTTTGACACTATAATTATGATAGTTCTACTAAAGTATGGTGTTTGGTAGATTTCAAAAACATTTTCTGACTTCACTATATAATAAAAAGCAATAATTGTAAATATAATTTTATTATATTTAAGTCAAACCGCCTTTCTTTTCTATAATTTATCTTATCTAGAATTATTAATTACGTTAAGTGAAGTCGTTTTCTTCCAGTATCCGAAGCTGTGATATCAAACGTTTTCGTTGAAAAAACTGAAAATACAAAAAAACCTTATACCTATTTTGTGTACATTTGGTTCTATTTAAATGTCTAAAGTTATTTGTCATATCCTATGATATAATCGAGTTTGAGATAACTTTTTACGGTAAGATCAAAATATTAATCATTAATTAAGCAGTTTGTATCGATTTGTGATAAGTTATATTTGTCAAATATTACTGCGTCTTCTTTCTTTTAGTATCCTAATTGAGTTTGCTTTAAATGTCATTATAATATTCCTCTTTTGCTAAATTATTTGTACAAATGGTAAATAATTAGAATAATTTTGTGTAAATTTGCTGTTAAATATAAAAGATAACTGAAAGTAAATCTTTTGGGTTCATGAAAAACTAAACTAGAAAATTAATATAGCCCGATATATAACCATCAATTTTCACGAGGATTTATACACCTATGTCCTCCTATTAAACACAAAAGACATAACAGTAGAATAAAATGCATGTTTCAATATACCTACTTATATTCGCATACTATTTTTGATGATCATAAAGCTTTATTTCCAGCTTAAGATACACGCTAAACATTCGTTTTGTATTCATTTGATCAACACATATCAATATGAAGTCTATCTAGTATGGACTGTTAGTATCTACTGATACAAAACCAGTGCTGGATTGGTTAACGAAAGTACGCAAGTATGCAACCGATTCACGAATTATCTGAGTTTTACTTTAACGTAAAGCTGAAAGGTAAGTTATCCAGGAAACCATTTATAGAACAGAAATGTAGATTGATTTCAAACATAAATAATCATTTTTACAGATGGACAATAGAACTACCTGATTTTGGATAATATTGTCCTATTTCTAAATGAGAAGTTTAACTTTCTATGACTCGGCAGTAACTGACCATCTTCAGTTCGTTTATTACAGGAAACAATACTAAGTGATAATCTGAACATCGTCTGTCTTTTATAGGATTCCTTCGTAATGTGATGTCATTTCGAGCATGTAATTCAAAATAGTAATGAGAAATCTTTGACACAGAAACTTGTTATACAAGATATACATTTAAACAATACAGGCTAATGAAAATCACCATGTAAAGCATAAATGAAAGTTGAAACTTTGAATAAAGATAGTTTTAACAACTACGTTTATTTTTGCATATTACTATTATCGCCTAACACCACATAAACTACAAGAAATATTCCCACTTGTTATTGAATCATGAAAGAACAAAGAATACTGTTAAAAATATATTGAAGTATGTATGAGACTTACCTTTTAGTGATTGATTTCAAGAATTAGTGGGACTTTTTAAATAGTCATTCACCAAAGTATTTAGTTAATCCTTATTTTATGCTTTCAATCAACAAGACTAAAACAATAGCCAATTTATGTGCGTTCAATCTAAGCGATACGGAAAAAGGTGAACAGAGTGAAAGTCATTCAATATTGTGGACATTATATTCACGTTGAATTTTATTTATTTATGTAATCTATTGATTTTTGTATAAAAATATTTTTTCAGACAATCTAAAATAGAAATAATGCATGTTTGTACGTAATTATACCATACCATAAATTTGTATCGTGTTTATTTATGAAATTAATTGTCCCACAAATTTATTTAGAAATTGTGTTAAAAGACTAATATAAATTTACCATGTAAGATATGCCCATAGTTATTTACGCCCATGTCTAATAACCATCTGAACAGAACTAGCCTTTTTTAAAAACTATTAGCTCAAATAAAATTAATGAGTCATACAAATGGCTTGTTTCCATCGCTTCTGATTGGTCAGTTTTCTAACGTCAAATATTTTTAGGTCACACACTGTTATTATGATTTTGAAATCGATAATTTGTTTCATTTAGGTTAGGACTTGATTAACAGTCTTGAAATTAAACACGTAGATAATTTATGAATTCTTGATGCCAAGAAAATCTATGAAATTTAAAAATCAAAGGTCTTGTAATTAACTGATAAACTGATATAACTCAGAATTGCCTTACAGGTTAATTTGATTAGTTGTTATTAATAAAACATTGCCAAAATACATTGGAACTAATCTGTATAACATTTATTATTTGTTTGGAAAGTTGAACTACTAGAACTTGTGGTTTTCGTCGGATGAGTGGAGAAATCTCTGAACAATTAAAAAAACCGATTGGTGAACTCTCCCGATCCATTATTGTTAGTAAGGCCCATTTCGATTATATAAATGGAATGAGTTTCAGACTAAATGATAAAATGATTCACGGGTTTTTTCATTGCCTCGTACCACTAGACAAAATATACCACAGTGATGGACTACTCAACTCGAAGGTCACTCTTAATGGTATATAAATAACCAATGCGTCAGATTTAACATGTCGGTTGAAAGGCATCAAAAATCATAATCTATTCGTGCTATTGAGCAAAGTTGCGTTTATTCTGTTTACCACACCCAGTAACTTAGTCAACTGCTTTGGATACAAATGTAACACTCTAAGGCTGCTTTTAATTAGATCCTACACCATATTACAATACATAGTGATGTAGATGAGAAGCAGGTAAAAATAGAGGACATTCCACTAGTCACGATGAACTAATGATCGCGGCAGCATCAGATTATTCGATATTGAACATTCACCAACTCCCGTACACACAAATCGTGAATCCAAAACCGTTTTTAATACCCCCTTGTTACATAACATCAGTGGTTAACACTCACAACTGTTTAATGAAAATATTAAACACTTATCAACGGAATGAAGATGTAAGTGGAATGTTAAGAATATGTAAAATACAGAAGTGGAAGAAATTTAAAAAATACTTTATCAATGTTCTGATACCAGCTCACTCCATTACCAATAGCCTAGGTAGCGAGAGTGGTTGTCAAGTTTCGTTTAGATGCAAAGGTTTGGTTTGCAAACTTGGATTCCAGTGGCTTCAGGAATATGCGAATCATGTGGCAAACTTGATGAAATATGGTAAATAACCTTACAAGCGTACATTTCGGCACGTCTGTCATCGCATAGCAGAGCACCATCCGTCTTGGTTGAGCAAGGGAAAAGTAAGAGTGATTAAGATTTCGTTTCTCGCTTACTTGATGGGCACAGGTCCTCATGTTGAATTGAATAAAGCTTTTAAGGTTATCCATCACATTCAGTCAAATTTGCTGAATGGTATTTTACTTTTTCCCTACATTTGTTCTGTGATTCTTACATAACTACTACAATACTGACCTTTTATCAAAAATATTTTATTATTTCCTTCTTTTTGTGTATTACACAACATAATAATAACTTTGATTATTATAATCATTTTTCTTCCAATTGGTCAATGTTATTTTTTAATCAATATGTCATTATATAGTTATTACGTAACGTAACTACTCGATGAGTATTATTTCATTGTTATGAATCATACATACATATACTAATGTAGAGCCATGATCAGAAACTAATTAAACAGAAATTTCTTCACTCGAATTCTTACTGTTCTTCTTTGTTCAATTAAATTTTCCAAGAGAATCATTAGGTCAAATGATTTTTCGTTCCGAAGATACATTTATTAGGTATTAAAATTTATATATTTCTATTTGTCACTAGATTCAAACCGAAAATGTCTACTTGCATTTGTTTTTCACAAGTCATAATCAACTACTCAATCATAGAAAGTCATTTTCCAAGTTTGTATAGTTAAATTCAGTATGTTATATTCAAATATATCATATCAGCACACTCTCCTCCTAATATTTTTCTATGACTGGTGAAGTGTAAAGTTTTATTCTGAAAATAAAGAAAATGAGTTGGGAAGACTTTTATGTAGTTTTGCACTTTCTTACCTTCATTGACATTACTTACTTACTTACTTACGCCTGTTACTCCCAATGGAGCATAGGCCGCCGACCAGCATTCTCCAACCCACTCTGTCCTGGGCCTTCTTTTCTAGTTCCATCCAATTCTTGTTCATTTTTCTCATGTCTATCTCCATTTCTCGGCGTAATGTGTTCTTTGGTCTTCCTCTTTTCCTTTGACCTTCAGGATTCCATGTGAGGGCTTGTCTTGTGACGCAGTTGGGTGCTTTCCTCAATGTGTGTCCTATCCACTTCCAGCGCTTCTTCCTGATTTCTTCCTCCACTGGGATCTGGTTTGTTCTCTCCCACAGTACGTTGTTGCTCACTGAAATATTCATTGATAAATAATTCGGTATTTAATAAAAGATGTTTTCAAATTTTTTTTAAAACACTTTACAATATGTACTCGTGTGTAACCAATAATAAACCGAGTTACTGTAGGATAGTATAACGTTTAAATTAATTAATTCACTTGGTATTGTTTTACTTGAATCTTCCCATTGATGTTTAGGACTGCGATTGATTAGTCTCTTATTGGCATATATGCATACTGTGAGTATTGCCTCAATATTGCCTTAATTTACAAGCATTATAAGCATCCCATTGTACAAGCAAGTGGCTGTCAGAATTCAGTAGCTAAGTGGGTAACGCGTTGACGTTTGAAGCGAACGGTACTGGGTTCTAGTCCTAGAGTGCACATCAACTCTGAGATGCAAGTACATCCAGCTGACGAGTCCCAAATTTGACGAAACGCACGTCCTGGATTCCACTACTAGTCACTATCCAAATTTGCTTATTTAAATTAATTGTTATTTGCATACGACATATGATAAATGAAGTTGAGAGTACTTACGAAGAATTGAGAATTTGTCAAATGTATTTATTTTCTTTTGAATCACTGGATTAATTAGTCTATGTTTCATGATAAGGGTACCAGTTTTAGTTTACAATGAACCAGTTTAAAAGGATATATAGAATTATTGATTAGATTGTGCATGAGTTGGTTAAGTCACATGCAAATTTAACCAGGCTGTTGGAATAATAAACAATTCGGTAAACAATTTTTATTAACTAACCGTACTTTTTAAGCTCTATGGTGACATAATTGTTTCCGTTTTTATTTTGTAAAATAATATGCAAATGATATTTCTAACAAACTTTTTGAAACGTTCAATATATGTACTTAAATTAATATCAGTCTTCTTTAACAAGGATAAACGTTTATATTTTAAAATATAGATAAAACTGTTAACAAGTGCTGTTCAAAATGAGTCAGCTATTCCGTTCGTGGCACCATTATTGTGACATATCGAATGTGAACTGTTCTGTAAAATCTAGTTGTCAAATTGCTAATGGAGAGTAGTCATCTTGCTTTTAACTTAAGCACTGTCAAGAGCTTTACAGTTGGAAAACATTATAAACACTTCTTATAATAATCTCACAATAACTTTATTCCATTAACACTATAACGACGATTATCAGTGTTTAACGTTCTTAATCAATGGTTTTCACTCTACTTTTTATTATAGTGGTAGAACAGCCTAATTGGCTAGAGTTAACGGGACTGCCATGAGTGTTGAATAAACACTGGTGTTTCGTAGAATAAAAACAATATTCCCATTTAGCAAATATTACAAATTTTCAAATAACCGAGTAGCTTCAGTTCCATGTTAACTGGTAACAAGTGAATTATCAAAACAGTTATAAACGAAAATTAAATAACAGGGAACTTGACTGAAAAGACACTGAAGTCAGATTTGCATGTATCAGTTATACAATTTATGCTTTTCGAAATTACCAACCTGTCATCTACGGCGTGTATTATCAATGCATCGGGTTTTCGAAAGTCAGTTTCAAGAGTCTGAGCATATTGATATGTATATATTGATATAAACAACCAGAAAAACAACATTAGTGGAGTTGGGACCCAAAGTCAGATGAATATATAGCAATCATACCAGACTTAATGAAAGCTTGGAAGAAGTATCTGAACTACGTTGTCGATTTTTTGAATCTGTAGGATGGACTACATTAACCTCTGCTTCCATATTAAGAAACTTGTTTGGACTATCCTTACATAATATTTAAGGCAGGTGAATTTTCAAAACGTTTACATTGATGACAGAAGACTTGTCAGATACCAGAGATCTCTTTCCAACTATCCGACCAGGTAACCTATTTGATACTAAAAACTTACTTTTAATGTAGAGCTCCCTGTCGCACCAAAATATTGTTGACTCGACTGCTTCGGTGGGAGGCTTATGTTGTTTTTAGGTTACATTCACAGTTTATGACCTTTACGTAAAGCCGCTAATGCTCGGCATGCCGTATTTACTTGCCGTTCGGTTGGATTAATTTGAGATTTTTGAAGTTACCGTTCAGCTAGGATAGTCTCCTCATGTGTACTATTTCAATAAATCTGTCTACGTAGGTTCTTTCAACACAAGTGTACGCTGTATATTTTATTACAGTCTGTAGTATCCTATTTGATAAAATAATTCATAGCTTAGACTGTGGTCGTCTAATAAACTGTTCTTAAGTTTCTACAAATAATGTGGGCTTCACATGACTGTAATTCATCCATTAGCTGATTTATTGCTTAGCTTTCAGACAAAGAAATTTATTTTATTGCATTCTTATTCAAAATATCATATTATGGTTCTATGCAAAGTTTTACCAATGAGTTTCCAACCTGGTTCTAAATTTTATTCGGCAATAAGCAGCAACCACTGTTGCGTGTTGAGAAATTTACGTATTTTCAAAGAAGTGAAACTAGAATAATGAGTCTTTACGCCAAAAAGAGGGAGTACCATAACTTTGTTATGTTATTAATCAAAACTGTGGTTGAATTGGCGCTTGAATATATCTGCAAGCTAAG